ACCAACTGAAAGCCAATGTGTCAAGTACAACAAACCTAAAAGGAAACGCTCAAGACGTTATAAGACCTCGAAGGCGTCACCAAGTAAGGGAGACGAATGCCAGGCGTGCAATATCATTGTTTCTAAAGCTGACTCAGCGTTCGAATGCAATTTTTGCAAACGGTGGGTGCACTGCCGTTGCGACAAAGAGGTACCGAAGTCATACTACGAGTTTGTGAGAAATAACCCGTGCCCGTGGTTTTGGTACATCTGTCCACTCTGCCGCCCTGACATAGTCACACAGAGCGTGTCTGCGGATAGCAGAAATCACTCGCCGCCCTTGTGTCCCAACACGGCCATATGTAGCTCCCCACCTGCTAACATCACATTGCCAAAACTTGGCACAGACAGTAAGAAGGACACTCCAGTCCTACTGACTGAAAATGCCAATTTTCATAAGGTGAAGATTCAAATGGTTGGACCCACAAAATCAAGGGGAGAGAGGATTAGAAAAGTACCACTTGCATCCACAAGCAAGCTCGGCAACACAACAAAGGCTGGCCAGAACCTGATGAAGCCTGAAGTTGCTGACGCTGCAAATGAATACAATAATCCAAAGGCCAAACCTAAGTCTGAGGTTAATCGGTCTAATTCGCTCATCCTCTTTAACGTACCTGTGAGCAAGGACAGCTTGCTTGAACAGCGGGCCCTGTTTGATCAGGAACAGTGGTCCAACCTGTGCAATAAACTAGGTCTGAATATTAGTTCAGTGAAATTGTGCAGGCTGTACAGGGGTGTCCATACACCTCAAGGTAAGCCACCCCTATTACGGGTTACACTGGACTCTGCCGAAGAGGCCGAAAAGGTACTATTGATGGCTCAGGTACTAGCCATCGACAGAAGCTCGAACATAAGAGTGAGACAAGACAGACCATGGGCTGTCAGACAAATGGCGAGGGAGTCACCGGAACTGATGCCTTCTACCTCTATGGTGGTACACGGTGTTCCGGAGCTGGAAACGGGCACTGCCTGTGAAAAACACATGCATGACGTACAGCAGTGGAGATGGCTGTCATCTCAGATGGCCCTTGGCGCTTCTGGAGCCATATCCGTTTACCGACTACCTCGCCCCGCTCATCTCACACTGATTAGTTCCCCAAAGCTGCTAAGTGTCACATTCAACTCCCCAGAGCAGTTGGCCATAGCACTTCAACGGTTGTATGAGATCAAGGGGAAATTGGGAGGACACATCCGATGCTGCGAAAGCAGACCTCGAACCATAAGGAGGCAGCAAACGGAGGCTTTAATACGTCCCCAAGCTTCAGTGACACTCCAGCGATGCGGTTCTGAGAATAACAGTCTGTGCCACCCAGGTGTCTTGCCTAAATGCAAGGGAAAAAACCACAACGGGCCGGTTCCATCGGAACTGGCCAACTAGTCCAAACATTAAGTCCCCTACCAGCAGACAGCTTCACGTCAACTGCCCCACAACACGCTGAGGTTGTAAGACTCACTGTCAGCTGCCTGTATAGCAATGTGAGGGGGCTGAGAGGAAAAATAGGTGAACTCCGAAATCCCCAAGCACACCTACAACTGAAAATGATCATTCTCACCGAAACATGGCTAACCCCCACTATCGCCAATAATGAAATCAGTTTAGGTGACATGGTTTTGGTCAGGAGAGACAGGGATAATAAGGAAGGAGGGGAGTTGCCATATACTTTGATAGGCAACTTAAATGTGTGCGCGCAACAGACCCACCACTTATTGAACTCCCAGACTCCATATGGTGTCATTTCACTGTAGGCCACACCAAGCATTTACTTGGTGGCATCTACCGATCTCCCACATGTGGGGCAGAGCACAATCAGCTACTGCTCAGCACTATCACAGGGATACGAGACTTGGGCTATGACCAAATCACCATTGCTGGAGATTTCAATGCCCCATCACTGAACCTTGGCTCGGGGTATGCTAAGGGAAAATTCGGCCGAAATCTACTGCAAGCTATTTGGAACACGGGACTGACTGAGAACGTTGGAGACGACACTAGGTGGGGCCCTAGTGGAAAGTCATCAAAACTAGACTGCATTCTAACTAGTGACCAACTAAGTGTTGAGAAGGTCCAGATCATGACTCCTCTAGGAGGTAGTGACCATGCAGTCATAGGTTTCGACCTCGTTCTCCGTGAGCACTTGCAGTGGGACGCTACGCAACCATGTCTGTGTTATAGCAAGGCTGACTATGCTGAAATGCGGAGGCTCTTGTCCGATGCAGACTGGCCCTTAGCATGGGATGAGCTGTCTGTGGATTAACACTGGGAGGCGGTAAAAACGATTATTCATACAGTAATCTCGGATACCGTCCCTTTAGTCACAACACAGCCCAAAAGAAAGTCATCATGGTTAAGGAGAGGCACGCAGCGTATTCTGCAAGCAAAGCGGAAGGCTTGGTTTACGTGGCGCGTATCTAGAAGCCAGATCGACCATGATGCATACCTGGAACTCAGGAACCGGTGCAATGCAAGAGTCAGGAGGGACAGAAGGTCATTCCAGGCTAACCTTGCTAAAAAACTCTTGGCAAACCCGAAGAATTTGTACCGATTCGTGTCGGAAAGGAAACCAACCAACCAGGGGGCGTACGCCTTAGTAGGCCAAAACGGTCAATGTCTCACTAGTCTGGAGACGGCTGAAACATTTAGTTTAGCCTTCGCCAAACAGCTAAACAGTTATGTGGGTATTACCGTTACGGACCAAAATGGTGGCATGACTATTTCACGGGAGGAAGACCAAATAGCCACCCCCCAAATAAACCCTGCAATAGTACCGAGAAAGCTGCAGCGACTCATACCTGGGAAGTCCCCAGTTTGTGATGACATCAGGCCATCTGTTCTGAAACAGTGCGCCGAAGCTCTCTGTAGGCCTTTATGCGACTTGTTCCAACACTCCATGGAATTGGGGAAACTGCCAAAGAAATGGAAAAGAAGCATCCTTTCTCCGATCTTCAAGGGTGGGGATAGGCAAAATCCTATCAGTTATACACCAGTAGCTCTACTCCCAGTGGTATCGAAAGTACTGGAAAGTATTATTGATGATCACATCAGGGAATATCTGGATAGGTCTAAAATACTCCATGAAGCCCAACACGGTTTCAGGAAAGGGAGATCCTGCGTCACTAACTTATTATCAGCTTGAAACGACTGGACATCATGCTGGGATATGAATGTTCCAGTCCATGTGATCTTTCTAGACTTTGAGAAGGCATTTGACACTGTTCACCATGACCTTCTCCTACACAAAATAAGCCAGGTAGGTCTAGGTAAACCACTTCTGTCATGGCTGAAGGACTACCTAACTGAGGGGCAATTTTACACCAAGGTCAATCGAGTCCGATCATCTTGGCACAGCTCCTCATCAGGAGTGTCGCAGGATTCTATCCTGGGACCACTGATGTTCTTGATTTTTATCAATGATCTACCATGCCGTCTAAGCTGCCCGACCCTTCTATACGCTGATGACGTGAAGATATGGAGGGTGATAAAGTGTCCGGAGGACTCAGATAGACTTCAGGCAGATCTAAACCTTCTGGAAGACTGGGCGGTGGCCAGTGGCATGACTTTCAACCTGAAAAAGTGCAAAGTAGTGAAGTTACGCATCTGTAGGCTTCAGAATGCGAGTTACACCCTGTGCAATGAAAGCTTGTCCTGCTCAACGTCGGAACGTGACTTAGGTCTAGTTCTAACGGAGAAAATGGACACAAGCGTAAATTACACGGGGGATGTAGCGAGGGCATATGCGGTCATACACTTTACACATAGACAGTTTGGTGCACCACTCCTGAGCTCTTTCTAAGGTTGTATAAGACATACGTCAGACCGCATCTTGAAGTGCATAATGTCATTGCACCCCCACTGCTTAAAAGAGACGCCAACCTCTTGGAAAGAGCCCAACGATGGGCAACAAAAGGAGTGGTTGGTCTCCGAAATAAACCATATGATGAAAGGCTGAAGAAATTAGGCCTATTCACACTCAGTTACCGTCGCCTTAGGGGGGATTTAATTACTGCCTCCAAGATAACAAATGATCAGAATCACCCAAACAAAGGTGTTCTGCCATTGAGTAGGTATAGGCTTCCTCGTGGAAATCCTAGAAGGATAGCCCATCAGAGGGCGAGGAACCGGGTGCGCTCCCACTTCTTTTCCCTGCGGGTTTGCCGTCCCTGGAACTCCTTACCGGCAGATGTAGCTATGGCACCATCTGTTGATGCCTTCAAGCGAAGGCTGGACAACCATGCAGCGACACAAGGACTTCATCCAAATGGCCTATCCCCTTAAAATCGCATACACCATTCAAAGGTAGACAATTAAACTGGTCGTTTTACTTCGTTACATTCTCTTCAGTCTTAATTTCCTGACAGCTTTAACTACACCTATTATTATTATCATTATTACTGGTATATATATATATATATACCGGTTGACTGACTGTTGTTACGTTTTCTTATTCTTTTTCTGTCTGTTAGCCTGAATTACTTCACTAATTATATCTATTATTATTATCTCCTTTCTATTGACGACGATACCGAAGGACCAACTGGTGAAAGGATCAACTCCATTCACAGTAGTAACAGTCTTAACACACCTCATACTACAAACCACATATAATTAATCCCTGCACTACTCCTTTTGGAGTCAACCAAAGCTACGGCAGTCGAGTGGCGGGACGAGCTACGCAGACGTTTACCAAAGATCAGGAGGCGAGCACAAAGAAATCAAATTGGTTTATACTAGCTCGTAAAAACGATATTGGATATTGGATTCACCTTTGAGATAAGGTCCTAACATATCGCATGCTACCAACTACATATTATAAAATCAGCACCGCTCCGCTTGGATTCAGTAGTGTTACGTCAGGCGAGATGATGGGAGAACACCGCAGACCTTTACCTTATAACCAACAGAAGAGAACAAAGAAATAAAATTGGTTAGCTGGTAGATTCGGTATTGGATACTGCAAAATGGCTCACTTTTTAAACTTTCGCATGTGACCTTGGGTTAGTAGCACGAGTTCACTGCCTACCACTTATTATTTGTAAATTTCGTTTAGTAGCAAAACTTAGCAATTGATTTTGACCAAGTAAGATAAATCAGGAGTATTCTGTGGCACTGTTGAATTGAACAGTTACTAACACAGTATGTGCATGCTATGTTCTGTGATGTTGAGGAGAGATTTCTATTGAAATTACGAGTCTATTCCCCCAGGACGGTTTACTTACTCTAGGCTGGTCCATTTTCTGAATCGGCACAGTTTTTTTTCGAAAAGTGGGTTACATCATTAGACATGTACATGTCACCCATACGTACGTATAGGTGAAGATAATAAATTATGCTCCAAGTTATTTAGTAGCAACCGTAATCGAGGAATCTATATTTTGATTAATTTATAGGTCGTCGTACGTAAAGTCAGCTTCATATCTGAGTTTAATGTATTTCCCTATTATGGAACTTAGTACCTTGACATTGTATACAATGTCGTAATTTTGTAGTTTTCGCAAATAGTAACCGTAACCTAGTCTTGCAAATAGAGGGATTTAAATTTCTTTATAATAAGTCAAAGGTGCCTATTTTATGGAAGCTTCCTTTACTATTATTTATATCCTGGATTTAGCGAAATCTATGTGAATAATTATTATTGGGAATCTACATTTCGCTAGTTCCTTCGTAACTTCTGTATATTACAACACGACTTGCCTCCTAAAGACAATATGTAATGAGACTGATGTCTTAAGATTGTTCTTTATCACCTTAGTCCTTTGTGATGTGTTGCCTCATATAGAAACTAGGCTCAATATTCCGCACTTTTTGTAATACTGTTCTAAATCTCTTTAAGAACTGTATATCCTTCAGATTCACGATAGTTGTCGTCCCTCAAGTAAAACTAGCTGAGCTATGCTGTATTTCAGATAGGGTACAATGCACCGATTCTCTTTACTGTGGTATTGCTATTTGTGGTGTATATCCTTAGATTCTGTCTATTAAGTTCGTCAAATACTTCATATATCTTGGTAGTTTTTTCAAATAATAATAATATAACCACTTTAATTAGTGGATGGTGACTAGCAGTGTAATCCAGGGTGCGCACTTCGTCCTATTTGAGACTCGCGGCCCAAGTGGTCTAGTGGATAACGCTTTGGCGTTTGAAACTATGGTCATTGGGTTCGAGTCTTGGTGGTAACATCATCACTCACTGGGCTATGCAGGTACACCCAGCTGACGAGTCCCAAATAAGACTAAATGCACATCCTGTATTCCTCTGCTAGTCACCATCCACCGAATAATTTCTAATTACATGCCCAGATATCGTCGAAGCATCTGCACAAGAAGCTGACATTTCAACCTGAGGCCGAGCACTTCGATCCAATCAACCGATGGGAAAATCTAAAATTCAATTAAATATAATCACTTTATTGCAAACTGTAATAATTGTATAGAGTCGAACTTTCAGCGTTTGTACGTATTGCAATAGTCTAGCTCCTTTTATAAGTGTATTAATACATAAAATAGTAAAGATAATAAAACCACAAAAACCGAAAGTTGGCATATTATTTTGAATAATAAATAAATAATGTGTGTAGTAAACTTTCTTTTTGTGATTTTCCGTTTACATACATCCTGATTTAAAAAGTATGTAAGCTCTTTTCTGACATGCCTCTTCCCACAAAATCTGTAATATATTCGGTGTAGTTGAAATTTGTGTATTTTGCTCTATAAGCGTAAATTCTTAAGAAATTTCGTCTGGTTTCACCCGAAGAGATACAAAGGAAAAGTTGCGAATAAAGAGAGTGGTCCGTTTCAGACTAGATGACTTTATGTAACTGCTTGCAAGAATTAAGAGGCTAATCAACAGCAGTGTCATTTATTTGAGTCAAAAGTACACCGCTAACATTTTTTACAACCTTGTGCTCTACTTAATATGACGTAGTCGATCGACAAAGTTAAGAATTTTCATCGATTGAAGTGTTCATCACTTGGGTTACTTGATAATCCACTTTATCTGAAATAGAACTGTAGGTTGTTAGAGCGAAACATTATTGCAGTTTACGAAGGTATTGATTTTTGGTTTGAGCCAACTAAATGGATGTACCTGGCCTGACTTGGATTTTCAGGATTCCGAGAATCAGTGATTCATAGTGGAGATATGTCCACTCTCTCGTATATACCAGGTTTTGAAATGTGTAACTTTAGTTTAATAATCATCTCCATCCTACACATGTTGATTCATCGCAGTGTCATTACATATCTGTTCGGTTGTTTTATGCGTGCTTTATCAAGGTGTAGCAATTTGCATTTTTGAGCATGTGAGTAAAGTTCTGCGTTGATTCGTCAGTGAATCGCACGTGGGTGGTTGAATAACGAATTTCGCTGTACTGTTTATTGTGAACAATCTTCAAGATAAATTTCAGACATCTATTCATCAAATGGTTGGGCTTAAAATTGCCTGTTCTCGCTTTGGCTGTTTTGAGAGCATTTTTTAAATTTGCGGCCTATATCAGTATTTGCTGGAAGAGTGGATGTAAACTTTTATGATTTAGATAAAATATTTCATGCATTAGATTGTTAATAGATGCAAGTCAAATAGGAGATGCAACTTATTTGTTTAGGCTTTTGGCTTCCAGCTGCCTAACCCTGGGCTCAAATTCGGCTTCATGTATCGGCGTTTGGTGAGGCAATCAGTATCGTCAGCCATCATACAAGTGTAATTTACTAACTAGTGATTAGACGATCAAACGGTTGCTCAGTAACACATGGTTTTATTTTAGTACTCGGATTGCTTTCCACTTGTGTGAAGGGATCAGAGTGTTGTATCTCATTTTTTCTGTAGTATTTTACGCCACTTAAAGCTGTACACTTCATTTTGTGTACAGTGAAGAAATAGCTGAAACTTATCCCATTTCATGATTCTTCCTAAAGCAGGAATACAGTATACCTTAAAACTTAAAAGTTTTTACAGGTTTTAAAGGCTCAGATTATCCCCAGCTGTTTCTCCGATTATCTTATCAATAAACAACCAATTGTTTTTTTGTATTCTAGAATATGGTTCTGACTCCAATTTTCCGTTTGGAGCAAACGGATACAAAGCTTAAAGTTGTTATACACGCTCCTTTGGCAAAGATATCAGAAATGGAAGTATGCGTTGAGGATCAAACGTTTTATTTCGATTCTTCTCCATATTATCTTAAGTGAGTTCCTGCTCCTAATCTAGTCAATAAACTCTGTTTTAGATTTGATATTCCTGGTTCTGTGGTGACGGATGAGGATACATTTGATTTTGAGTTCGTTGATGGAGATATACACGTCACACTGGAAAAATCAGAACCTGGATATTTCAAAGATTTAGATTTGATTTCAAAACTATTGATAACATCACCTGCACCTAAAGCTCAGAAGAGTTTAATTGAAGAACTTAGTGACCCAGAGACACCACAAACAAACTGGTCAATTGATTGGCTTAGCACATTAGAAAATAAGTATTCAATACAGGAAGAGATAATTATTTCGAAGCCAACTTATGGTTTTAGTGGCTCCAAATCTGGACTGTTCACAGTTGAGGTAAGTTCAGTTTTGTTACTTATATGCTCAATTCGTTTATCATAAATATTTAATCGTAGGTATACTATTTAATACCGTGAAATAAAAATGTACGGAAAAATTATCAATATGTAAAGCCTTAGTTAAAAAATTCCTTGCAGACATACATTTCCTAAATGTGAAAATCACTTTCGTCGATCTGTCGTTAACTAATCGTGTCTGCTTCTGCAGCCATACGCTTTCTTCCAAGACTGTAAAGTTCATACTGCTACCATGTTTACCATATGTGAACTAAGTTTATCTAGTTTTGAATAACCTTTTTTGTATTCAATAACGTGGAATTGTTTTATACACCTTTACCTATTTTCTCGTGTGGCATTTGCCAACCAAAGTCATCTCTGGCGTAGATGGGATATCCGGCTGTCAATCAAAACACGTGTATACTACTCAGCAGCTCGCTCCGTCCTCCCTTGTAGCTGTTTGTGAAACGTGGCCGTTGAAAGTAGATGACATGAAAAGGCTAACTGTGTTTGATCATAGGTGGTTACGTTCTATCTCCCATGTTAGATGGTTAATAGGGTAAGTAATAGTGAGGTTAGACTACAGTCGAGTGTTACGTAAGGAGGAAAAGTCAGTCTGTGAGGTTGTGAAACTACATCGGTTGAGATGGCTAGGACGTGCTACGTATGCCCAGTCATCGCCTTCCTCCACAGGAAATGTTAGCTGATATAGGATCACGTTGGCAAAGAGCTAGTGGTAGTCAAACCAAAACATGAACTCATTGCATAAAATGTTTAACAGTTAATTTGAGCCATTTAGGGAGGTGTAGACTGTCTGGTTAGGTTCCTTGGGATGGCAAGAACCAATGGCTGTAGACAATTGGTGATATGGCTCGAAATTGTTCTCAATGACGCAGATGCATTCATTCTTTGTGATTTATAACATCCAGTAAAATTCTATTGTTATTCCATATTACTATTCTTTTTGCCTCATATTTCTGTTTATTATCTCTCTTTTGAATCTCTCATTACTCTCTTATCTTGCTTTGCGTGCTACAAGGACAGGGTGTGACAACTCAAACTGTTGCACATTTGTGCAAAGTTCTATGTTGAAACCAATCATTCAGTCAGTCTAAATTTGTGTTTTCTGTAGAAAGTCTGAACGAGAGTGTTACAGATGACTTGTAATATTTTGCTTGAATTTCGTATGCAAGACAATTATACATTTTTTTTTATTTTGTAACTACTATTTTCACTAATTTTTTTCCCTATTTTGTTTGGTAGTCTGACTTAACACATGCTGTGGATTTATCAGATCCTGACGGTGTTGATGCTGCTAAACGTTCAGAACTGAGGAAGTTAGAAGAGGAGAAAAAGTTTTCAACTGATCATTATCTGTAAGTTGTGTCCAGATATTTTCATTTGTTTTGCTGTTTTATTTCGTACTACTTTTCGTTCATTCGCTCCTTATATGCTTTGTATACACCTTATATATGGTAAAAAGAATATATATATATTATATATATATATATAGTCTTGCATATTGTTTTTGTGGTTATAAAAGAGTCAATAAGATGAAGGGGCTTATCAAAGACAAATACCTCCCACCATTGTGTATAGTTCCTATTAGGATTACTTTTACAAATATAGAACTAAAGTTTTCTTAGGATCCAATGTTTCTCTGGCTGCTGAAACCTCGGTAGGTGGAACGGAATGCTTACTTCGGAACGCCTCTATCGATGAGGAGATTATCTAAACCAATAAGCTATAGGCCTAAGGTCAAATGAGATTATATTTTTATTTAAATTCAGACAGATTTTTCCATTGATCTTGAATAATTATTGCAGATAAGTAACCTTATCGAAATTTTACCACAGTCTAATCACCCGTTATTCTGCAAGGAAGTTTCAAAGTCTCATTGTGCTGGCAACTAATTGTAAAAGACACAGTATCTCAATTGTTTTAAGTAATCGTTTTTTAAACTTTTACTACTATTTTTTGTGAAAAAAGTGATTCAGTTAGTTTAAACAGTCGTCTTAACTAGTGTTTGGAGGACTGAAAGCTCACTTTATCTACTTTAGTTTGGGTATCCAGTTAGAATGTAAATGTCAACTTCTAGGATGGACGAAATACTCATCCTGGATACCATTACTAGTCACACCGTCCACTGAATTCCGAGACACTATCGAAGCGTTCATACTTGGAGGCCAACATGTCAACAGGATTTGAACATTTCACTCCAATATGATCAGTCAACTGGAAATACAAAATTAACTTATATAAATAAATGTATCTACGTTAAAATTGTTTTATAACTGGATTTATTAAATATTATACGTTGTACACAGCCGCAGTGAACCAGCGAAATGAAATGGATAGATATCATTCTGCATCAATGTTTGTTCTGTCCGTGTTCAAATAAATTATACTGTGTTATGATTAAGTTATTGTAACATCTGTGCTGGATGATGCATCGGTGGTTCAGTAAGGTAGAATTCTTGTCATCCATGCATGTAGTCCGGAGTTCGAACCGTTGGCCGACTCACCTCTTTGCCACGCCTAGCGGGTAATAAGCTTGGTGAAGAAGACAAGTTAGGCATTAGGCCGCCCTATGAAAAAAGACACCACTGCTACTGAAACTTGAAAGCTGAAAGCTTGAATCCCTGTATCCCATTGGAAACGCAAAGGAATAAAACAAAAAATGATGATAGTAAACAGGTGTACTGCTTGAATATGGGTCGTCTTATAAAGTCGGATAACAAATTACTAATTATCCTAATAATAATAATAATAATAATAATAATAATAATAATAATAAGTTAAACTAGCCTTTTTAAAAGTTCGTTTAATGCGTGATGATAAGAACATGTTTTCTATGAGTAAGTGATGCTAAAATATTTGATAGAGATCGATAACCTATGATACTGGGAGAAAATTTTGTTTTAAATTCTTAATACATAACCCATATAAACCATTAATACATTCCTTTCTGATGACTTGTCCATTATTATGTTTCTCTCTTATTTGATTACAAAACAGTGCAGATTATTTTGAGCCAGATTCTTGGATGCATCTGTCTGACGTTGATCTTCCTTGGGCAATTAATGATTCTCCAGATTTCTCCTCAGATGAAAGACATCGTTTAATTACTCTTTCATCTCGCCGACTTCCTCCTCCACCGGAGAGTGCTGACGAAGAGAAATCTTTATACCTGGGCTTACTTGATTTATTGTTTGCATATGTGTATGATTTTAAAATTCGTGAAGGTGATGAAATGAGTGAATCTGGATGGAATATTGTCAAACTGGCAGCTACACTTTCCTGGTTCGAGGTAACTGTTATATATACATATTTCTCTTTCTGTAAGTGTTTTTTTCTTGTTATTGGTTGGATGCATTATCCAGGTTGATAGTTACTTATTGGCGTATGACACCTTGAATATGACAGGTATAAAGAAATGATAACACACAAAAACATTTTTCTGTTTATTTTTAGGTTTATCACTCTTTACCTGAGGTTCTTGTATCATTCTACAGGCGAGCACTTACGTATCCTCTTGTACGAAGTTGGCGATTTTGCACTATTATTAAACGAAATGTTTCCCATCTTCTGAAGCTTTCTAATGGTAAGAATTAATATTGTATATGATTTTCAATGAATATGATAATGTATGTTTGATATACTGTATCTTGGTGGTGGATCAAGGGTAAACCGTTCAAAAACCACAAAAGAGGTCCGGATTCGACTCCCGGTCGATATATTCGTGAATCTTGTTTAGTTTACTGACCGGGTAGTAAACCCGCGAAAGAAGGAAGGTTGAGAGTGCGACTGGCAAATCTATTCCATCGAATCAAAACTATCGCTACTAGAAATTCAGCTCTTGAAGTTTAAAGCTGTATGTTTCGCTGGGAATGCAAGGAGTCTATATATAAATATATTATCCGCCCTAGTCCTCACAATATCTTTCTCTTCATTCTAAGTTTTAAAAGCTTCATATTCCTGCTTAGTAGGATTATAAGACTTATTTCTGTGTCACTAAGATATGTGGGGCTTTCGACATTATGTCTAAGTACTTTCCCTACCAATCAATTTTATGTATCGGATGAATCGAAATAAATATTTTTTATTTTTCAGTCTTAATGATAAAATTTTCTATGAGTTACAAGCAGCTAAAAATTTGTGAAGCGGATTAAGCAAATATTTTGTCCTTATTGTCACTGTTGCTTTACTTAAAGTATGTCTGTGTAACCTGAAGTAATTTAGTGAATGGTGGCTAGCAGTGGAATTCAGAATGCACATTTCGTCCTTTTTAGGACTCATCATCCTGATGTACCAGCTGGAAAATCACACCCGTCGCATAAGAGGCGGCTCTCGTGACCCTCCTTTATGGCTGTAAGACCTGGCCATTGAGAGCAGAAGACATGAAAAGCGTAGCTGTCTTCGATCACAGGTGTCTGCGTTCTATCTCCCGTGTGAAGTGGTATAATAAGGTGAGCAATATTGAGGTTAGGCGTCGAGTGCTAGGTAAGGCGGGGAAATCAATAGACGAGACTGTGAAATTACATCGACTGAGATGGTTAGGACATGTGTTACGTATTCTGGCCTAGTCATCGCCTTCCTCGACGGGCAATGTTAGCTGATATAGGGTCAGGGTGGAAAAGAGCTAGCGGCGGTCAAACCAAAACATGGCACCAGTCAATGGAATCCACAACAGTTAGTTTAAGCCAGTCACGTAGGAAGGTGAAGACTTCCTGGTTGGGGTCTTCGGGACGGTAAAAATCAATTGTTTCCAACCATTGGTGACATGGCTCAAAATCGTTCTCAGTGGCTGGTGTAGATGCATCCACTCCTTGTGACTTATGATTTCCAGTTAAATTTTTGTTCTCCGTTATTACTATTCCTTTGTCTCACACCTCTGTTTACTGTCTATATTATGCATTTCTTCTACTTTCTTCTCTTGCTTTGTGTGCTACAAGAAGGGAGTGTGGCGACTTGAACTGCCGCACATATGTGCAAAGTTCTATGTCGAAAACCGACCGACCGACCGACCCAAGCGGCCTGTTGAATAACATTAGCGTGTGGAACGATGACTGCTGGGTTCGAGCCTCAGCAGGAACACCATCACTCACTGTGGAACGCATATGCATCCAGATGAAGAGTCAAAAATAGGACGAAACGCGCATCCTGGATCCCACCACTCGTCACCATTCACCAAATTCCTTCAAGTTAATCTTCAGACATCGTTGAGGCGTCCACACTAGTTGCTGAGGCGGAACATTTCCGTCTAATCAATCGATGGGAAAATCAAAATTGAATTAATAAGACATATGTCTGTGTAAGTCTAACGCGAAATTTCAATTAAAACACGGGGTCATATCTATAAAAATTTAAGAGTGACTACACTTAAAAAGGGAAATCAGTTTGTGATTGTTAGTGTGCCCCATACATACGGGAATACAGAAGTACTTATGGTTGGAGACTCTTAATGACACCGATTGCAGAGTTGTGCTGACAGATTTGATTTTTGTCTTAAAATTTACCTTGTTAATCCCCTATTTACGTTGCCTGTTCTTCCCTTCATCTTGTACCTTCGTGCAACTATGGCTTGTACATATCTTCTTCCTTTTTTTTTTTCTCAAAATTGTGGTAAATGTGACCGTTGCTCAATAATATCGACAGTGTGTGCATCTATTGCCTCCATAAGGTATTCTTAACCGTTAAGCTAGCCAAATGACTGTTGTATGACGTCAATAAAGCAATTATAGTAGGAATGAAAAAAACTGTGTGTAGTAATCTGACAAGCTCAGTTGTGTCAATACACTGACGTAGTCAGTAAAGAACTGACTAGCATTAAAGGTGGTGATATAATCAGAAATATTCAAGGACAAAATTTACAAATTTTCTTAAAATTCATGAACAGAATCAATCTAAAATGAAAGCAAACCTTTTTCTCTTCATTCTTTTCTAAATTTTATTAGCTAAAGAATGGTGTTTAAAGTGTCTGTTAGAAATTCGTGAATTGTTAATTGCCTATCCTGGTTATCATGTATTCGCAGAGTTATACCTTAATGATTACATTGTATGGATTCAGACTCGTGCTTGGTAAGTTGACGTATTAGTGTGAAAATATTTCCTAGATAGCTCTTTATTTGATTGGAGGATTTCGTCATGAGCTGACATCAGTTAGAGAACCGTTGGACAACCTGGGAGTACTAGGCATCTGTTTTGTCAGCCTAATTTTGGACTCTTTATCAGTACGCACCCACCGGAGTTCGAACCAATGGTTCTCTAACTGATATCAGCTCATGATGAAATCCTCCAACCAATAGAACAAAATCCCTACAAAACCATTACTTGGAAACTCTTTATTTATCATTCATGCATTTCCAGCCTTGGAAAAACTTATATTCCATACCTCATTCCGTATCAAAGTTCAGCAACTTTTCACTAATATGTTATTAACTTCATGAGTGACTTTGTTTAGTGTACAGGAGAGGTCGGGTTAGTTACTTTTCTGTTTAAGCTCAGTTGCTAAGGCCAGATTTTTCATATACTGGTCTTAAACGTGCACTTATTGTTTGATGACTGATTGCACGCTACCCAGCTGCTCAGGCTGAAATAGAGCACGGGACTCGAACCTGTGTGGCGATATCTTAGTTACTAGAGATTTCACAGTTATGTTTTAAAAAACTTTAGAATTAGGCCAGGAAGTCTACACCTTCCTGGTGGGGGTCCTCGGGACGGAGAAAAGGTGCCTACTGGTAGGAAGAAAGTCTACCTTGTCAAACTACCAAACAACAGCGACTTAGACCTCTTCAAAAACTGGTCAGGAATCTTATTTTTGTCCACACCAAGTAAAGTACTACGTCGGGTCATCCTGGACAGAATAAAACATGAACTGGATACACAACTCTGTCCGGAAATAGCTGGTTTCAGGAAAGACAAATCGTGTGCTGATCGGATTCAGACTCTACGTATCATCACCGAACACAGTATAGAATGGCAGTCAAATCTCTACCTCCATTCCATCAACCATGAAAAGGTCTTCGACAACGTTGGCCACGAAGTAACTGGGAAACTACTTCAACACTACGAAATGCCCGAAATCTTTATCAACCTCATTCAACTGCTATATGACAATGCCATGTACCACGTGATCCACAACAGACAATTCAGCAAAGCTCTTGAAATAATTACAAGAGTGAGACAAGGCTCCCTGCTATCATCGATGATATTACTAATTGTTGTGAGCCGGATCATGCGACAGACAGTGTGTGGGGAGCGATAATACAGGAATATATTGGACATACATGAAGACTCTAGGGTATCTGGATTTCTCAGACGATTTATGTCGAAGGCTAAACAAATTCGTTGACTTACAAGTGAAAACCAACAAACTGGTAGAAGCTGTAGGCCTCAAAGATAGGACTTCAAGTTAACATAGAGAAGGCAAAGGTGGTGAAGATAATTAACCAAAAACAGCTAGCGCCAATTACTATTAACGGAAGAAATTTGACAGTGGTCGCTTCCTTCACTTATTCAGTCAGGAAACATCGTTTCAACTACAGGAGGCTGGCGTAGATAGCGATATGAAAACCTACCAGGATAGGAAAGGCAAGATACGCCTTTATCAACCTAAAACCATTTTGGAAATCTTAGGCACTCAGTACAAACAACAGCATTTGGATTTCCAACACCAATGTCAAGTCAGTCATTTATTTTATATGGGTGAAAAAATTGACTTACGTGTCATTGGAAGACATTTCCAACAGCCAGCTGAAGACGTTTTTCCATAGTCACACTCGCTGGCTGCATACTGACGATCAGATGGCCAGCCGGCCAGAAAGAATTAGCAACAAGAAACTGTGAGAACAAAGAAATCAATAACATATCGCTCAACAAATATTCCGGACATGGATCGGACAAACGCTTAGGAGACTGTTGGTTGATATCACGCACCAGACTAGTGCTCGAGTAGAATCCGAATGGGAAACAATAAGTTGCGCACCCGACGGTGACGTGGAGGAGATGAGAGACTATGGGCAATCGTGAAGATAACTAAAGAGGACTACCGAGAACAGGACAAAGTGGAGATATGTTGTTGAAGCCCTGTGTTCCAATCGGAGCCCAAGGGGGAACAGTGATAATAAAATGCGTCATGTTCCTCAACTTTTTGTGATGTCCACTGACTATTTGAGCTGTTATCAAGAAGAAAATGTAGTCTATTACATTGTATTTGAAAGGCAATAGTTGTTTCAGCTAACTTTTACGAAATTTCACAGTTTCATGTAAATAGTTTCTAAGCATTCAGTGAATCGAAGTATTTTTAAATTATCATATCGTTTAATTCACTGTACACATGTGAATTCATCTTAAGTAATTTTAATTAATTAATTATCGTTAGCTTAATTGTTTTCTTTTTCATACTTTTCAAGTCAATCTAAGCTGAATGATCTTGGCAAGAGTTTAGAAACTGTAAGTTAACTGATGTTTTTTTTATTAGTTATTTCTCTCTGTCTGTCTATTTTTGTGTTAATATGCTGAAATTTCTTTCTTTCTGCTATTATTATTATTATTGTATCCTTTAATTCCTAGAGGAACATACGGCTTCAGTCGTGCGTCCCCATTGCGTTCGGTTCTCTGCTAGAGTCTTTACCTGGCTCCAAGTCTGCCCACACGCTTTCATCTCCTCTTCACATGACCTCCTCCAAGTCACTCTTGCACTGACTACCAACTCGCCACTTCCCTTCCGGGTTCCACTACAGTAATGGCTTGTCTAGTGATGTCACTTGATGGTATGAGTGTGGCCAATCCATCTCCATTCCTTCCTGTTTATTTGTTTCACAATCGGTTCCTGGTTGGTTCGCTCCCAGAGATCCTTTTTGCTGATCTTTTCTGGCCGGCCATCTGATCTTGAGTATTGAGCGAAGACAGCTGTTGATGAAGGTCTGTAGTTTGTTTGAGATGCTCTTTATGAAGCGCAGTGCAAGTCTCTGGTCCGTGTAGTAGCACTGACTTCACATTGGAGTTGAAAATCCGGATCTTGTTTTTGATGCTGAGTGCTGTTGACCTCCACAGAGACTTGAGAGTAGTGAAAGCTTGTCTTGCTTTTCCGATTCTTGCTTTGATATCCTCATCAGTTCCCTCGGCTTCCCAGGTAGGTAAAAGAGGTTGCTTCGATAGAGAAAGAAAGACCAGATTTGCAGTATAAAATGATATCATTCTATTTCACAGGTTCTCATCAGCTGCAAACTACATGAAATTACAATGGTTATAACTAATAACATTTCATACTTCATTGTTTGAAAGGTAATACAGAAAGCATTATAAGATAAACGCATCCGAGATGTAAGGATAAAAATTTTTAGTAGTTTAAGTTACCATCAATATATATACTATCAAACTATGGCAAAAAGAAAGAAAAAAGGGGGGGTGAGAGAAGACAGAAAACAGAAAAATCTAATAAACAGTGTCAACATGGCAACTCAACAAGGTCAAAGTTCATCAATTTGAAAACTTGTTTAGTGAGTTGAACTCACTAGTGTCTATGAGTAATCACTGCAATGAAAGTGATATGGTTACCAAGGGAGTGAGAGATTGACTACACTCTCTTTCTGTGTGCATAAGTTTGGTCTGAGGCGTTTGATTGCAATTGCTTCAGCAAATCGTAGTAGATTCGCTGTCCTTTGTATGTTTAATATTTTTAAGGAGCTGGAAATCTCAACAAAATGGCCTGTATCCACAAGGTGTCTGGTAATTGCACTTTGTAAATATTTGCTTCCTCTTAAGCATAAGTTTCTCGGAATATGCTCTGAAAACCGGATAGAAGCCGTTCTTTCTGTCCTTCCGATGTACTTGCTGCCGCAGGTGCACGTAAATTTATAAATGCAGTTGGAGGTAACATCAGCAGGGTATTTATCCAGTTTCGATTGGCTTATAGAGCATGTAGTACTGTATAGTGTCACTAGATTGGCTGCAGGGAAGCATCTCTTGATTACTCCTTTCATCCTTTTTTCAATCTTTCGCGATACTGTTTCTCCTTGAAGCCCTATGTTCCACTGGGGAACGTAAAGGAAAAAAAAACCAGGACATTGTCTAGATGCGTTCATGAACACTTACAGAAAGGAGAATGTGGAACAGTCAACAGCTCAATTCTGGAGCATATTATTACTTCTAGTCATACAGCAACATAATAGGGACACTTCTTTTGAGAGTCATATTTAAAGTAGGACGAAACTACTCGGAAGGATTTCGCCTACATCTTGTTCATGCAGCTGAAACCTTAGCAATCCTTAAGGAGAAACCTGAACCTTGTGTTCAGAAATGCTTCGTCCAGCCAGCTCTTTTACTATCATAGCCTTAGTAGTACTTTTTTCTTCGTTCTTTGTCTTCCTGAATAACTATTTAGCAACCTGCTGTATGTAGTCGGTTTTATGTTTTTTCTCGCAACTCATTTTAAATCCTGTGTTTTTATCTTGTCTCTTATCAACTATTTCCAAACTTCGATTAAGAAAGCAAAACGAAATTCGCAGTATAAATGGTACAATGGTTACATAGATGATAATATCATACTTTAATGTTTGGGTGGTAGTAGAGAAGAGATATTATAAAATTGACGCCACCAAAATGAAAGCATTACACTTTTTAGTTGATTTCGTCGAGAAATGCCTAAGAGAAAATGGATACCGTTAGGGATTTATACAGAAGTATAGTAGAGAAAAAGATAAGAAAGGAAAACACCCAACTGTAGAAAAGAAAAAAGTGTTTATTTGTCTCCCATTCAAAGGAGATGCAGTGTCACAAAAGATTGACAAAAGACTGAAAGGAGCAATAAATAGAAGCTTCCCGGCAGCAAAACTCATAACAGTATACAGCACCACTCCTTCTATAATCCACTCAAAACTGGATAAATACCCTGCTGATGTCACCTCCAACTGCGTTTATGAATTTACGTGCACTTGCGGGAGCAAGTACATTGGAAGGACGGAAAGAAGGGCTTCTATCCGGTTTTCTGAACATATTCCAAGAAACCTGTGCCTGAAAGGAAGCAAATATTCTCAGAGTGCAATTACCAGACATATTGTTGATACCGGACATCTCGTAGAGATTTCTAAGTCCTTCAAAATATTAAATAGACAAAGGACAGCAAATTTACTACGATTTGCCGAAGCGATCGCAATCAAACGATTTAAACCAGACTTATGCATACAGAAAGAGAGTGTGATTAACCTCTCACTCCCTTGGTAACTGAATTTTGATTTTGATTACAATAATTAGTCATCTAATTCAGTGATCTCAACTCACTGAACAAATCTTAATCTTATAAACTGTAACCGCTTTTGTTTTTTAGTTGCTATGTGAACCTACAAGCTAACACTGTTCTGTTAATTAATTTTTTCTGTTTTCTGTCTTACCCCTCCCCCCTCTTTTCAACTTTGAAAGCGTATAAATTGATGATGAAAACTTAAACTAAAAATTGTAATGCTTTCATTTTGGATGCGTCAATTTTATAGTATCTCTTCTCTACTACCACTCAAACATTAAAGTATGTTATTATCATCTATATAACCATTGTAATTTCAGGTAGTCTGCAGCTGATGAGAACCTGTGAAATAGAATGATATCATTTTATACTGCAAATTTCGTCTTCCTTTCTTTATCGAAATTTATCAAGGGAACCAAATGTATGAAATATTCCCAAACTATTATTCATTACTCAACTAACTAGTTGTGAGTTCTCTGTCTCTTGATTAAGTTGGATTATTTTCAATTTTTCAAACCTAGTTATTATTCGTACACCTTGATTTACTTTTTTAATAACTTACAATAACCTTTGACCTCTACAGTCAGTCTATATTGCATTCATACCCCCCATAAATAACTTTGTAACGGTAGAAGACGAGAAACTTCATAAAGGAATGTTTATTTGAAATTTTGGTATCTCTATATAGCGAAATTATGTACACCCTATCTTGAAATCACCATTTGCAACAGATCTCCCGTGTTGTGCTACTTCTAGCCTTCATATTGTGTGTGTGCTTTTGTGTTCCTTTCACGTCTCCCATGTATCTTTGCAATGCTGTATCATTTGATTTCTCTAACATCAAATCTGTGCGTCGGTGGCATAGCGGTTAGGACGCTCGCCGACCATGCACATAGTCCGGGGTTCGATACCCGGCCGACGCACTCCTTTACTTCGCTAAGCTAGAAATAGTGCTGGTGAAGAGGAAAGGTTGGGCATCAGGCTAGCAACCCCATCCTGTAAAAATAAACACTGCTACAGAAGCTTCAAGCCACTAGCTTGAAGCCCTATGTTCCACTGGGGAACGTGAAGGAAAAAAGACAACATCAAATCTATCTCCTCGCCGTTCGACGTTTTTATGCCAATGGTCATCTCTTCATACATATATACTACTGATAGATATTATCAGTAGCATATTAATATATGTGTAAAACTTGGGCACTGTGGTATTAAGTAATTCCATATTAGTTTGTTTATTAGGTATATCACACAGTGAAACAGTATTATTTACTGGATGACGTTTCGAACAAAATTTATTGTTCATAATCATGTCAATTGTGATCACACTCAAGTGTCAAAGTCGTGTGATCACAATTGATATGATTATGAACAATAAAATTTTGTTCGAAACATCATCCAGTAAATAATACTGTTTCACTGTGTGATATACCTAATAAACAAACTAATATGGAATTATCAGTAGCACACGTCACAACTGTACAGCTTTCAAGTGAAGTTACGAAAAGAAGAGATCTCTTTGCTGACTCATTCTTAATTCTTAATTACATGAAATAGGGATATTTTCATAATTGAAATTATTTTGCAGTAAAATATATTCAACACTTTAATAAATAACAAAAGGGTGAATATATAGTACAGATTCACTAGCCACGCATATATCTTGCAGAAGTACAGTGTTCTTTAAATACTTGTATTGTAGTGTAGTTTCAAGCTCTACTAGAGGGGACTGGTAGAAATTGAAAACTATCCAAAAGTTTAAAGGTTATGTTTTTAGAAGCAAAATAAAGTGGTTAAAATCTATAAAATGACAAGAAAGAACAAAACTAATTTGAGTTAGAGATGTATAAACAATTGACACTTCCACACTGCTCATATTATGAATTAGAGGAGTAAAAAATATCCGACTAAAACGTGATCACAAGCTACAAGCTGAATAACATGAACTATACAGTACATAAGCGGTTACATAACATCCCAACTGCATGTATATATATATATATATATTAAAAAGACTATTGCAGTGAATAAAATTTTACCTTTGATGAAGTCATCAACTAGTCTGTACATTCGTGAATATATAGTAAAGGGATGAGCAGTCGAGAGTGAAATTATGGTAGATATCCAGATTACAAATTAAAGATTAAAAACTTTGAGAATAACAAAGAGAAAGTACGGATAAATGTCTTAAGTTGGTGAATTTTAGGAGATTCATTTCCATTTGAAAAAAACCCTATACAAAGTCTGATCAAACCTCTCATAGGGAGTGAGATCAAGATATCTGGGTGATCAAAAAAGAAATGCAAGCTAACTCTATGTATAGGAAAAATAGTTATTCAGACATCTATAAAACACAAAATAATTGAGCAAAGAATATCCTTTTCGATAACTTCCTCTTCCGGCTCTACAATTATATATATGTTTATATACATAGAATATTCTAGATTAGTAGTCAGTAACAATATTAGTGTTTTTTTTAATAATATCGAATTGTAAAGTATGATCAATGCAATTACAGTTCATTAAAGATGCTTAAATTATAATAATAATAATAATAAAGATATAGTAGCAAATAGAATATCAACTAAAATTAGGAAAATTCCACAAAAAATTCATGATCATTCAAACCTAGATGGCCAAGGTAAGGATAATGTCTGAACTAACTTCTTTTGGATGCATAAATTAGGCTTGTTAATATGGATTCCAACAGCCTCAGCAATATTTAGTAGTCGAACTCTTAAGGCAAAATTGAGATTCGTAGGTATGCGGTAAATGACCCTGAAAGCATGATTAACGTCAATCTTGTGTTCTGTATCCACAAGATGAGATAGAATAGCGCTACGAATAGATTTTGTTTGTCCTTTGCTTAACCAGGCAGGGTGATGTTCAGAAATTCGACGAGAAACACGCCTAATTGTATGGCCTATGTAACTGGCTCCACAGTTTTAATTTATAATTGCATTGATCTTACTTTACAAATCGATATTATTTAAAAAACACTAATATTGTTATTAACTACTAATCTAGAATATTCTGTGTATATAAACATATATATAATTGTAGAGCCAGAAGAGGAATTTATCGAAAAGAATATTCTTAACTCTATGTATTCAAAAGAAGTACTTCCAGTCTTTGTCTCTATCTATACCCTTAATACAAATAGTCAGTTTTTTCTCAATATTTATTATTCAATTACGTTTCGTGTGTGTAAACTTTTGTTTATTTTTGTTATATTATCACATTTTTAATCCTTATTTTATAATCTTGTGATTCGTCAAAATTTACTGTCGACGGGAAATAGTTCTGGAACTTTCTCACCCCTTTGCTATGTATTCATGAGTGAGTGTACAGCCTGGTTGATGACTTTGTTGAAACAGAAATGCCCACCGCCGCAACACATCTTTTTAAATTCTTTTTTTCCTAGATGCATATTCCATAATATATATATACTAATTTATAAATGGTTTTATTTTCAGTATAAAATGACTAAAGATCTAATTGGTTTACAATTGAAAGAAATTGAACAAGTTGGTCGTGAATGCTTAGAAATGGAAAAGCTTCAAATGTCATTGAAGGAAGCTTCTATTTGTGAAAATCAAGTGAAAAAGCCTGATGACTCAGAAATACTACAAACTTGATTGACAAATTTATATTTTTTATTGTCTCTGGTTGTATAAAGTGTGCAAATTCCTTTTTGTGCTACTTTTGTTTGTACATTACATTCATTACGACATATTATTGTAGACGTGGAGACACATTTGTATATATTCATTGTATATTATAAAGGTTAATGACTGGATTTTCGCATTTTGTTTTAGTGAAATAGTAAAATTGGTGAAATTTTGAAAATTATTTATTCATGGAAAATCTCCATTCGAACATCAGTAAAGAGAAGACCAGTAGTTCAGCGAAGAGTCTCTTTTCGGCGAATTCATTTTCACAGCTGTACAATCGCAAATAATATATGGTTATTTTGTATGTGTGTGTACATTAAATTTGTCAAACGAAAATACAATTAGTAAGTTTTTGGTGGAGTTACGTAATACAAAAAGCGTTCAGAGGAATTGGATGTTGATATAAGAGGGTAGTAACAAAAGTGATGAGTTGTCACAAACGATTGTTAAAGAAGAGTTACGTAATAACATAAATAGCTTGATGAAAGAGTTGTGCTCAGGGTGTACGTGGAAACAAAATGAAACCCGGAATTGTGTAAGTTTTAAGTAGTTAGAAAAAAGAAGCAAACAAGCAAAGGTTAAGTCAAATCAACAGAGTTGTTACTATGATAGTAGAAGTGGTTGAATAATTTTCTTTTATATGCATAGTTCTGGTTCTTCTAACTGAATGGCTAGGGCTTCTGCAATGCAAAGAAGACGGAAACGTATTGTCTTTGGCAGGTTGTTCTTCACTTTGTAGATTACTTTGAAGGAGGCGTTTGTTGAGATGGAATGATCAGTGGTGACGAGATGTTCGATTATTGCACTCCTTATACGGCTACTACTTCCTTTGTGAAGCCACACTGGATAGTGTTCTTAACCCTTTTTGACAGGATGCAAGTTGAATGACCGATGTACCTGGCTCCACAGCAACAGGTGAACTGATGTATACTCATAGAAGCGGCCTTCCGAACGCTTTTTGTATTACGTATCTCCACCAAAAACTTACTAATTGTATTTTCGTTTGAAAAATTTAATGTACACACACGTACAAAACAACCATATATATATTTACAATTGTACAGCTGAGAAAATGAATTCGCCGAAAAGATACTCTTCGCTGAACTTCGTGTCTTCTGTTTATTAGTTATTTATTCAATACACAATGTATGTAGTACAATAGGAATGATAGAAACGATTGTATGATACAAATGGAAAGAAGGGAAGAATGATCACGGTGGTGATTAGTGATTTATTCTTTATTCTTGGGGTATCTGAAATAGAATTAGTGTTGTGTGACGGCAGAGCTCAAGGGGACAACTACTGAAGGCCGATCACACACGGCCTGTCTGAACTGACTTTTTGGTTTGGTTCCGTATTAGTAACTTACTGCCGGCTACGGACCACCGTAAGTGGGGTAAATTGGGATGTACAATTTTCAGGGTCGACCTTTTCTAACCCTCTCCCTCTGCAAAGTGAAGAGACAGTATGCTGGTCATCTTACATCTTACTGCTGTTACATCCCTTTTCCCCTTCAGTACGACTTCGCCCACAGACCCCCAGCATAGTGTAAAAAAATCTTACACCAAGCCGGCAACTGCTTTTAGTCTTATCACTATCCTAACAATCCTCCTGGCATGGTAGGATCTGCAGGAACATTAATTCCAGTCAGTGTAGCTTGTTGGGTCATTCCGATATTCAAGCCTGACCACCACGTCAAGGTAGCAGCTATCGGTCGGCGTAATTAAGGAAACAGCGAAATAAGCAAGCGAAAGAAAATAGATAAGAAGACAGCTTTCCTCTCGATTTCAGGCACGTATTCTGTTGCCTACATGATAAAAAGACAGAAATACAGGGATGGGGATAAAAGTCATTCCAAGGTGTTTCTGTGATTAGTATAGCAGACGCTGCAATAGATATTCCAGTTGTGTAAAGAAGAGAATTGAAACACTTTTAATACAATCAAAAGGCATTCGTTTTAGTATGTAATACAAAATCATGGAAGACCAACTACCGTCTTTGTTCTACCCATTCAGTCAGGCGGAAAAGTCTTCTAACAAATAATTCTCAGGAGTTAGTTCGTAACGATTTGAATTGTTTCCATCATGGATCGATATGGTCACGTGCTGCGTATGCCTAACCATCGCCTCCCCCGACGGGCATTACTAGCTGATATAGGTGCAGGTTGGAAAAGAGTAAGTGGTGGCCAAACAAAAACATAGCCTCATCAATCCATGAAATCCTTGACAGTTAAACTGAGTCAGGTAGGGAGATGCAGACTTTCGGGTTGGGGCCCTCGGGATTCTAAGAATCAATGGCTGGAGACAATAGGTGACATGGCTCAAAATCGTTGTCAATGGCTTACGCAGATGTATTCAGTCTCTGTAATCTTTCATATTCCTTTCTACCATTACTCATTCTGTTTCACTCTTATACTTGTCAAAACTCTATTGATTCTCTTCACTCATTTTCTTGTCTACCTTTGTGTGCTCTTTGGAACGTGGCAACTCGAACTGTTGCACTTCGGTGCCAAGTTCTATGTTGAATCCAGCAGCAGCATGGATCGATATCAGTTAGAGAACCACTGAAAGCCAGGGAATACTAGACATTTGTTTTATCCTAGCTTGAGACTCACTGGTAGTACGCACACACCGGAATTCGAACTCAAGACTGTGCGGTTAAAAGGCAAGCTCGTAGATCATTCAGCTACTAGGACCCGATCCAAATGCGCATGAATTCTAACTTCTACCAGTTCGTGATTTAAGTTCAACCATCAGCTAATGTCGTCGGCGGTGAGCATTTATCCTCACTGTCGACTGGATGGATGGACCCCACTGCTCACGACTTCGCATTAGAACTCCGCGAAACTTCATTCCGTAATTCATCTTTACCCATGTACTAGTTGTGTTGTTTTCTGAAACAAGAAAGTTTAATATCAATCACCTAATATAAGCAGTTCATCACTGTTATCCCTCTCTGAATGATGGAGACACATGTATAAGTAACTGTTTCAGTTGTGCCTAACTTTTAAAATATTTCATAAGTATTATTGATTATATTCTCTAATTTTTTTTCCCTTCACGTTCCCCAGTGGAACATAGGGCTTCAAGCTAGTGGCTTGAAGTTTCTGTAGCAGTGTTTATTTTACAGGATGGGGTTGCTAGCCTCATGCCCAACCTTTCCTCTTTACCAGCATTATTTCTGGCTCAGCGAGGTAAAGGAGTGCGTCTGTGGCCGGGGATCGAACCCTGGACCATGTGCATGGTCGGCGAGCGTCCTAACCGCTATACCACCGACGCACTAATTACTTTATGTGAATGATCTAGTCTCAGTAGAAAATCACATCTTCATTAAATTTCTCACATGAAATCTTGTTTTCTTCTCCACTCAATACATTCCATTATCATGCATTCTTCCGTCACACTGTATTCCGAACATTGTTTATTTATCATCATATTATTCCTTTGCGTTTTGAGCGGGAAATAGAGCTTCAAACTTGAGCTTTATAGTTTCAGTAGCAGTGGTGTGTTATTTTGTTAATAGGGTGGGGTTGCTAGCCCCATGTCCAGCCTCCCCTCTTTACTGCGGTTACTACCAGCATAAGTTTAGGGGTTTGTCGACTGGGGGATTGAGTCCTTGACCATATGCGTGGCTGGTGAGCATGTAACCATTGCACCATCGAAGTATAAAATATGGAACCTATGGCAGAAACTCAAATGTTTTGGTCAATGAGCCAGCCACATTAATAAATACATTACAGAAAATGAGATACAAGCAATCGTTCGAAGACACAGATGGTATTATGAAACGCAGAGACTTGTCTTTCTACTTTTGAGGTAGAATAACATGCCTCGAGGAGTTGTAAACCTGACTTATGTTGGTTACACTAACACCGTGATGATGACAGAAACATACTAAAATGGATCTCTTATAAACTTTTTTCGTTACGCCGTAGGAACGTGCTAGTACCTAGGTTAACAAATTCGACTGCTTTTAACATTTCATCTGAATGGGTGATGCCTATAGTCACGAGTGGGCTAATGCCCAGGTATAACGATACTGACATGCAATAGGCAGCTGCAATACGACTGTCCACCCTCAAATATATTCTGCTTCACTGAGCCACGAAAATATCCTTTGTCAAAGTCATTCAGCAGTCTCCTAAGCGTATGTCCAATCCATTTCCGGAATATTTGTTGAGCGACATGTTATTGGTTTGTTTGTTCTCCGAGTTTCTTGTTGCTAATTCTTTCTGGCCGGCTGGCCATCTGATCGTCAGTATGCAGCCAGCGAGTGTGGCTATTGATAAAAGTCTTCAGCTGGCTGTTGGGAATGCTTTCCCATGACGCGTAAGTCAAGTTTTTCACCCATATAAAATAAATGACTTATTTGATATTGGTGTTGAAAATCCAAATGAGTGCCTAAGATTTCCAAACTGGTTTTAGGTTGATAAGGGCGCATCTTGCCTTTCCTATCCTGGTAGGTTTTCATATCGCCATCTACGCTGGCCTCCTGTAGTTGAAACGATGCTTCCTGACTGGATAAGTAAAGGAAGTGACCACATTCAATTTCTTCCTTTGATAGTAATTGGTGCTAGCTGTTTTCGGTTAATTATCTTCACCACCTTCGCCTTCTCTATATTCACTTGAAGTCCCATCTTTGAGGCCTGCATCTTCTGCCAATTTGTTGGTTTTCACCTGTAATTCATCGAATTTGTGTGGCATTCGACATAAATCGTCTGAGAAATCCAGATACACTAGAGTCTTCATGTATGTTCAATATATTCCTGTATTATCGTTCCCCATACACTGTCTGTCGCATGATCCGGTTCACCACAATTAGGAATGTCGCAGGTGAAAGGAGGGAGCCTCATCTCACTCTTGTAATCACTTCAAGGGCTTTGCTGAATTTTCAGTTGTGGATCACGTGACACATGGCATTGTCATATAGCAGTTGAATGAGATTGATAAAGATTTCGGGCATTTCATAGTGTTGGAGCAGTTTCCCAGTTACTTTGTGGCCAACGCTGTCGAAGACCTTTTCATAGTTGATGGAATTGAGGTAGAGATTTGACTGCCATTCTATAATGTGTTCGGTGATGATACGTAGAGTCTGAATCCGATCAGCACACAATTTGTCTTTCCT